CTAAAAAGCTGAGCTCACATAAAAATGAATCTATCAGTTAATGGCAACTCTACATGGAAGAATTGATAGGAGAAAATGATTCCTTTTCTGAGATATTGTTAAGTAGTTTTTGTATGATTCTGAGGTAGAAATTTGTATTTAGTTCATTTGAGGTGTACTTGGTATGTGGTAAAAGTAGGAAGAAATGGGAAAAATTTTCTCTTTTTCCCTGTCCCTCATCCAAGACTTATAAAACATCAGATTATCTTTAAAATGGGTATGTCACAGTTTCATCCCTGTTTAAATATGAACATTGGACAAATATATATGTCTCATTTGTAAATTCACCATTACCAACATGCTATCTTAGTTGGATCACTATGATCTAGAGCTTCAGTTTCCTCATATCTCTGCAGGTACAGATATGTCTATGGACATGTAGGTAAAGAAATCAACCCTTTTCTTGGAGAATTGTAGAGAGGAGCAAGGGTAGGGTATAATAAAGTCCTTGGCATAGTGTTTGAAGCACAATAGCTACACAAAAATGTAGCCTATGGTGACAATGATAATGATAATATGTATTTTGTAATTGTCTCAATTTTTATTTCAGTCTTAATTTCTTAAGCACTTCATAGAATTACCATTTGTGTTGGCTATTTGGAGTAATTGTTCTTTTTAAAATGATTTATTAGTGACTCAAAATCTTTTCAAATCAGAGGTGTTTTCTAGTTCATTAGGCTACTATAACGAAGTCCCTCAGTTGGCTAATTTATAAATAACAGAAATTAATTACTGGCAGTTCTCGAGGCTAGGAAGTCTGATAGCAAACTAGCAAAAGGTTTGGTGTCTGGTGAGGGTCATATTTTTCCTAGATGGCACTTTCTTACTGTGTTCTCACATGGTGAAAGGGGTAAACAAGCTTCCTCAATGCCCATTATAAGAATACTAGTCATCTCCTGCAAGCCCTATCTCTTAATAGCACCGAATTGAAAATTTGTTTTAACTTATAAATTTGGGGGCACATAGGACACAGAAGATGGACTTTCAGCTAAATCAAGCATTTGATAGGATGAGAATGACAGTACATGGCAGTCAAACTCTTACATATCATATACTTAGTCTTTTCCTGATAGATGAGGTTGAATATCTCCCATTTCCATATGTCATCCATAACTATTCATTTCCTCTTTCAACCTTCTACATGATCCAACTAATTTATTGAATAATCATTTGCCATATAATTCTCTGTGATTGCTATCATATAAAGAAAAGAGTCCAGGAACAAAATATGAAGAGCTGTTTGCTTTTGGCTCTGTAGTGATCCTGGACTTTGCTAAGCTTCAGTTGTCTATGAATGGAGACCCGAGTTTCAATTCCAAGTTTCTGTCTGTCCATCTTAGCAGAGGCTGTGAAGAACTCTATAAACCTTGGATGCCATCAGTATATTGTTAAGTTTTCACACCAGTCTGTTAACTTGGAAACAACACTGTAAACATTCATACACTACATTAAAGAAACCTGCAGAATACATCATAGAAGCATCAAGAGAGGAATGGTTTCAATGCATAGAAAATCTAGTTAAACTTGCTTAAACAAAAAAAGCAATGTGTGGATCGCTCACTAGGAAGATGGAAGCACAGGGGTGTCACTTGTTTCAGACAAAGGGAGTTGCTCTCCAGCATTTTATGTGCTGATTTCATTCTCTAGCCATGGTTTTCTCTGTATCCTGGATGAAAAGACTGCCAACAATGCTCAATTTATGTTCCTCAAGCTCTCTGATCCAAAAATAAGCAAGAAGCCTTTTATTCTACTTTCATCTTAAAAATATCCCAAGGAAGCATTCTCAACCCAGTGCTTGCAATTATAGGTATGGAGTTCTTTGTATCAAAGAGACAGGATTTGGGGAGTGGTGCCCCTACTAAAATTATCTCCAAGGAGTGAAAGAAGATCAGTTGGACCAGTCTTCCAAGACAGCAAAAGTCCTGGACAAGACAGAACTGGTAAATGTCACTACAAGCATGAGGGAGGAAAAGAGAAAAGAGAAGAGTTTAGCTGTTCTTATTATGAAATGCCCAATGCCTCCTCATTAAGGCATCTCTGCTGTTTAAGATTAGGGTGACTATCATCTCAGTATGCCCAGGACAGTTGTTTGATGTCCACTGTCCTAGCATAATTATTATAATCATCCATTTCCATTCTCAAAAGTGTTCTGTTTGAACAATTAACTATATAATCACTGTAAATAAGACGAGCAATTTGGCTTCAGAAACTCAACCTGTTTTAAGTCATCCTCTATGTTTGACTTGGCTGAACTTTGATCACTTGTCTTTTCTTTTCCAGTTCCAGGGGCTAGCTCCACATCTGGAGCTCTTCTCATGACAGACACATTCTTAACATCTTCTTACTTTTGATTGGTTGGTCACCTCACTTTACTCTTCCAGGAACTCTTTTGGAGTTTAAGTGTTGGTGAAGAATGCTCAACAATCTTCCCATCTTCTCAGGGCATCTCTAGTGGTAGAATTTTTCTTCTAGGAATTGCTGTAAATTATACGTACACTCACTCTCCAAGCCCGTGAAGCACTTTTTTTGCTGTTTCTTTTGTAGATTTTTTTTTGATGTCAGTTATTGAACCCAGGCCTTCACACGTACCAGACAAATACTCTATCACTGAGCTACACCCCCATCATCAATGTTGTTTCTTTAATGTTGTTGTTTAATTGTTCAAACTATGGCAAATGGGGAATGGGCGGGGATGGATATGTTAATTAGCACATTTTGGTGATGTTAAAAGGAAAATAATCTTAGTGTTGTACATACAGTGGTCCTCTTTGCATGCCAGATAAGAAGGAAGCAGCCTTTGTCAGCTTGATCAGTGACTTCCTCGCTGTAGTTATGTGATCAGGCGGAAGTGGAAAAGAGAATGGATGATGCAGAAAGCAATTCCAACATCTGTCTGTCAAAGGACACGGCAAGGAAGGGGAGTGGTAAGGATCCAAGGAAATTTGGTGCACAGAATAAGGTGGGAACTGTTCTGAGGCACTGGTGTTCTACCTCATCCTATTCTACAGCATGCAATGTGGGAAGTGCTCTCTGAAGGCATGAAACTTTTCTGGCTGAGTGAGGTGGGGAGAGGAGATGCTGAGATTTTTCAATGAGGAATTTGGTGAAAAGACACAGCTGCTGTGAAAAGAAATACTTTGAGGAAATAGTGTGCGAAAAATCATACTGAAAAGTGATTTTCAGTCACTTTTCAGATTTTGAAAAGTCTGGTGAGGTGGTGGTGTCTCAACTACTCAGAGACTGAGTCAAGGAGAATTGCTTGAGGCCATCCTCAAGCAATATAGGAAGACCTTCTCTGAAGAAAAAGGGTTTTAAAAATTGTTTATTTATTCAATAAATAATATAGATTTTGTCCTTTGTTCTGGGCACTATTATACACTCCGGGGCATAGCAGGAATGTGTTAGAATCTGGCAAAGTTAACATTTTAGAGAATGCAGACAGATAATACACAAACATAATAAAAATAAATTACATAGCATTTCAATGATGCCAAGTGTTACGGAAAAGAGATAGAGTAGGTATGGACTGGAGGCGGATAAGGGTAGCCAGAGTTGGGGGGAAGGTGATTACAATCTTAAATGAGCAGGCAGATAGGCTTCAGAAAGAAGGTAACATTTAGGTGAACACTTGAGGGAAGTGAAGGAGAACCAGGCGAATATCAGGTGGAAAACCTCCACAGAGAGGGAACAGCCTGGCAGAGTCCTTGATGTTCATGTGTGTCTGGTCTCTCAGTAACAGCAAGGCTGAAGGTTGCAGGGACAGCAACACCTGCGGGTAGCAGCTGGATGATGTAGGGCTTTGAGGTCATTTAACTCTGAGAGAAATGGAAGCCAAGAGGCTTTCTGGTAGTGGCTTTTAATTATACTACTCCTAATGTATCTTGATGGACCTTATACATTATAATTGCCTCAAGAGATCTTGGGAAGTTGTGCTTCTTTTGAAGGAGAAAGAGTACTAATACCTTGTACACTGTATATTCATTTGGATTACAACAGGCTCTGCCTACAGTACAGGGCTTCTCCAGAGAGGGACTTGTTGAATGAAAACATGAATAAATTAATGAACACAGAGGTCCTTTCTCAACGTGGGTTCTATTCATCCTCTCTGCTCTTTCAACTTCATTTTTTTGTCTGTCTTTGCTCACCTCATTTCCCTCTAGAATTGAAATGCTCTCCCCAGACCTTTTCCATTGTATTCAAATTCTACCTACAGTTAAAAACTCACACCCAGGAGGCTGAGACATAAGGATCTTGAGTTCAATGCCAGACTGAGGTGCATAACGAGATCTTGTCAAAACAAAACGAAAACAAAACGAAACAAAACAAACTCAGGGCCAGTCCAGGGCTGTAGGAAGTCCCTGCAGACCGACCCTCTATCCCTCATTGGCTTTTCTGAGCAACTAAAGCTTTCATGCTCTCATACTACCCATTGCTAGCCTAATCGGTTGAGTTGGATCATTATTTGTTTATTTATTTAAGAACCATTATTTGTTAGGCAACTCCCCCCCCCAAACAAACCTAAATAAATCAAAAAACAAAAACAAAACCTGAATGAACACCAGCCACTCTGAGAGGTACTTTTACCATTTCTGTCTTATAACAGCTGACCGATAAGAAATTTGAAAGCCACTATTTGAACACTCTGCGTTAGGAAAACCAACCCAAACCAAACCAAAGCTGAATGAACACCAGCAGCTCTGCCAGGTACTTTTACTGTTTCTGTCTACAGCTGACCGGGTAAGGAAGGGCCGGTGGCCTGGCTCAGCTCATGCAGAAATTAACTCCTTGTGCAGCAGGACCAGACGAGCAAGGGCCATTGTCCTTTCCACTCACAGAAGCGTTACCTTAGCATCTCCTACAGGCTACTTCACTCCTATCCGGCCAACCAAAAGCAGCGGCCGCGGCCGGGGACTCTGGTCCCGTGCGGGACGCCGTAGCGACACGCCCTCGGCTGGCTGCTCAGTCCCGGGCAACATGGCAGCTGCCGACTCAGGCCCGACCCTGAATCCAGGCACTGCAGAAAGCGAGGAGGAGACGATTCTCTATGACCTGTTGGTCACCACCGAGTGGCCACCGGAGACAGAAGTTCAGGTGACCGGGCCCCTGTCTGGCGGCGGCCAGCTTGGCGCGGGCGGTTGGCGGACAGAGCCGCGCCGCGGGGCCACGTAGCGCAGTGGAGCGCGGGCGGGGGAGGGGGAGGGCTCGGGCTCGGCGGCGTGTGCGGTCGCCTTGGCAACGGCGCCCAGGGTAGCGGGGGGTCTGGGCTTCCGAGGGGTGTCGCGGGGATTCCTCCTGGGCTCGGGCTGGCTGCTGTGGGGCAGGACGGCGTGTGATGGACGCTTGCCGTCCCGCTCGGTTGGCAGTGTCACCCCCGTCTTTAGGCGGCAGAGTCCTTGTCACAGTGGCTTCCTGGTCCCTCTCCTGGCTGTCGAGGACTGGTTTTGGGGAAATTTATGGACTATAGTCTTTTCTCCATCTGGCCGGCCGCCCGCGATCGCGGAATCTAACGCCGAGCCCCTACGTGGGGCTGAGTTGCTCCATAAACAAGCCGTGTGTGTGTCTGTCCCCGTGCCTGCGGTGTGTGTTCGGGTGCGTGGTGTGGCCCCAGGTCTCAGAAACTGTGCAAGGTGCAGGGGATTCCAGGATGAACAAGCTTTCGTGGCTCTTCGTATGTTCTACAGTAGCGGTGCCACGGGAGAGGAGCTCTGCTAGGGAAGACGTTAGGCTGCTTGGTCACTCGGGAACTGGACCTTTCTTGGGGTTGTCAGTTGCTTGGTAGGGAGGGCCTTCCAGTCATAGGGTGAGAAGCAGGGGCACAGACCCAGGAGTCAGGAGCACTTAAGTGCCAGTCACTGTATTCGACTCAGTGGACAGCAAGATAAAAAGGAATCTTTTTTACAGGTTATGGAATTCAGCCCATTTGAACTCTTCCTTTACTGTATCTTTTCTGAGTGTTTGCTGATTTTAGAAACTACTCATGCTTCAGCTCATTTTCTGTAACGTTTGTGGTTTTTCTCTATAACCTTCCTCCCTCTGCAGTTTCTGCTTGTCTTGAATAGTTTATTTTGCAGGCAGGCAGAGATCTGGGTATATTAAGTACTTCCTTTGTGTTTTTCTTGAACAGTGTGAATATTGTAGCTTAAGTAGTTAAGAAGTTATTGCTGCTGCCTGTAGGTTGAATAAAGTTGAATAGATAATCAGTTTCCTGATTAATTGTAATGATGTTTCCAGATGTTTAACATTACAAATTGATTTAAAAAAAATGATCACAGCATCAACTTCCATTGAAAGCTCATAGCACTTTGCTGCCTTTTTCCTTTATATTTTTGGTTCTACTGATTTCTCCATCTATTGAATTATAAGCTTTTGGAGAGCAACTGCTTCTGACTCATCTTTATCTCCCTTCCCAGGGCCAAAAAGTGTCTTGACAATCATTTCATGTTTGTTGAGTGAAGTTAAGTTTTTTAGGTGATATGTATCTGTGCTTACCATTGTCTTTGCTCATGTTTTTCTTCTTATTTTTGGTGGTACTAGGGTTTGAATTTAGGAGCCTCATACTTGCTAGGCAGGTGCTCTACCACTTGAGCCATGCCTCCATCCCTTTTTGCTTTAGGTGTTTTCTGGATAAGGTCTTGAGTTTATTTTCCCTTGCCTGACACCTCCTGTTTATGCTTCTTGGATAGCTGGGATAAAAGGTGGATCCATTTCCAGCTTTTATTGATTGAGATGGAGTTCTCCCTAATTTTTTGGCCTATCTGGCCTCTAACAGGAATTGATCTTCACCTCCCAGGTAGCACAGATGTGAGCCACTGTACCTGGCTGGTTGTATTTTTCTCCATAGTACTTTAGTGTATCTTACTTATTATATGTGGTACCTGGTATTGTTTAACATACACACAGTAATATTCAGTTTATACTTACAGAACATAGCAGTTATAGCTCAGTATTTTGTTAATAGCATTGTCACTATGGACATACAGTAGACATCCACTTTTCCTGTGAGCAAAACTTACTTAAGGTTTCTGAAGCCTACCCAAACAGACTATACTGATTTGGCAACTACTATGGTCTTTGCTCTTGATTTCTCTTGTCTTTCAATGGGTGTTTTGATTTGGAAACAGTTTTCAGTCTCAATTCTTGTGTTTTCCTGCAAAGTTCATCCTGACATGTGCCTGTGACTGCCATGCTCACCTTACTCCCACTGTACCCAGTTCTGATTGCACTTTGTTTCAATCCGTGAATAGTTTTAAAGTACTGGTACCTTGAACTCATTTCTCTGAGAATTAGCAAATTAATAAAGTGTACGTTTATATGTTACAAGTATAATAAGCATAAGTTTACATTAGTAAAGAAGTATAGGTACTACTATAAAATTTTCAAATGTAAATTAAAAAAAAATTTTAAATTGCAGCCTAGAGGTAATCGAAAATATGGTGCATCATTTATCATCACAAAAGCAATTAGAGGTAAGTAGAGTTTACTTTTCTGTAGTTAGTGGACAGTGTTTCCCCATTTCATTCATAACTGTGTAAATTTAGAAAGTTTAGAGTTTTTTTTTTTTGCAGTACTGAGGTTTGACCTCAGGGCCTTTGCTTGCTAGGCAAGTGCTCTGCTACTTGAACTAGACCCCCAACTCATTAAAACCTCTTAGATTAAATTTGACATCTTAAACCACTTTTACTTTTTGTAGTTAGGAAATATTTCAAAGTTTTGAATAATGTACAAATTTATAATTTAATGTAAGCAAATATATAACTGTAAAAGTTAAAGTATATATTAGGTTATTCTCATTTTCAGAGTTGTAGTCTCAATGTTTTGTTTTTTAATGACTCACTTTGCATTGTATTTTAAATTTGTTATCTGTAAACCTAATTTGAAAACCACTCTTAAAAGACAGTTGATTTATACTTCACTTTGCTGTTTCTTTTTTATTACAGATCATTTATTATTTTTCCGCCAATACATCTGGTACAGGTGAGCCTTCAATTCTTCATGGAAGCAGTATGAACATGAAATACATTATTATTATATCTGTGATTTCAGTTTCATAATCAAATTCCAGATCATGATATAGACACTGGCATTCAGGCGAACCTGGTTTCTGAAGCAAACATGTCAAACATTTTGGCATAAACTGAGGATATCTCAGTAGCGTTGGTAATTTTTAGTCCCTTAATCATTATTAAGATCATCTCTGGACAATTTCTGCTTCCTCTGATGAGGGTTCTCAGTGCTGTCTCAAATGCCCACATGATGGGTCTGTGGCTTCCATGTCTGTTAAAGAGCATTTTTGTTTTTGTTGCATCAACTCTCCTGGGGTCAACACCCAGTTGCTGTGCATTGGATAAGGTTCTTCAGGTTTAGGTCTTAAGTACTTTTTAATTCTTTAAGTGTTGAGTACATATTTAGGCATGATGCTGATTTTTAGTTTTAAAAGGAGCAGAGAAATAAGTATTTGAATAAAGGATATAATTCTGCTTTTAGGAATGTGTAGGAATTGTTTTATAAAGTTTTTTACTACAGATTGCTTTTTTCCTAATCTTGAAATTAAAAGCTCCAGAGATAATACAGTTCTATAAAAGAGACCTTTGCTCTTCTCCAGGACTCACTGCAATGCTTTTATCTTGTGGATGTGTGTATAAATGTATGTGCATATATATATTCATATTTAGATTTCTTTATTTAATTTTGTCTTTTTTGGGGGGATTACAGTGTGATAGAGATGAGTGAGGAAAGAGGGTAGAATATAGAGGAGATCCTGAACATTCCGTGTAGGGTGGGAGAAAATATGTCTGCTCAGGTTGCTGCTTGACAGTCCCTTTTGTTATCCCTTTTGTCAGGAGAGAGGGCTCAAAAACAGCTGACTGTAACACAAGCCTTGTCCTGTAATATGAGCACCTTCATGTCGGGCAGCAGTAGCTATCATTCTGTCTCTTTCCTCCTGAGGAGTCTTCTTCCTTGAATTAGCGACATCCATCATTGTACAAGTTGTGGATGCTACATAAATTATTGTTTGATCCTCCTCATAATAGTGTTATTTTCAAAAACATTGTACTTTAACTAGCGCTCTTGAGTTTTAGCTAAAGGTTTTGAGGCCCAATATTTATTATGAGTGGCTTGTCCTTTTTTTAAAAAAAGTTTCTTTTCATTTAATTTAAAATATTATAAGCATAATGAAAATTATAGCTCAGATAATAAACCTATTTATATATGATTTGTATCTATATTTGAATTAAAGAGGTGGTTGTTATTTTGCCACATTTGCTTCAGGTACTCCTTTCTTTTTATGTGAAATGTTTTATCTCAGATCCTATCCCTCCCATATTTTTCCTCTCTCTTCTCTTTTAGAGGTAAGTATCATCCTGGTAGATGGTGTTCACATGTATTTTTCCTGTCTTTATTATATTTCTGTAGCTTTCTTGGTGTTAAATATTTTGTAATATAAATGAGCATAAATGTACCAAATTTACATTACATTTTTCTTCTGTTTGTTTGTTTTGGTGGGACTGGAGTTTGAACTCAGGGCTTCAGACTTGCCAAGCAGGCTCTCTACCACTGGTCTGGTGAGCCCCTCCACCAGACCATATGGCTCTGGTTATTTTGGAGATGGGGATCTCACAAACTGTTTGCCCAGGCTGGCTTCAAACTGGATCCTTCTGATGTCAAGTTCCCAAGTAGCTAGGATTATAGGCATGAGCCACCAGTGCTTGGCTCATTACTAATTTTTACTGTGCTGTGGTTTTCATTTCAATAATGTGTTGTGCTCTCTTTTCCTTTTCTTTATGTTATTTCCTGTTTCTTGATTTCTTCAGGTATTCCTCAGGTTTGTTGTGTCTTTTAACTCACTCATGGTGGATAGTTTCCTAATATCTTTAAAACATTTTTTGGCCACCTATTCTTTATAATCCTAATGTCTTTTGAAAATGATTTTATTGTGAATTCATGCTTGGGGATTAGTGCATTGCATGAGTAAGGTAAAATGGCAGTCAGATTTGCATTTAGTGGGCTCTTTGGGCTTTAAATTTTTGATAGGAGGTTTCATTCTCATCTTCTGTAGACCAGATTCCAGGCAGAGATAAGAGCCCTTAAAGTCTCTGGGCTGTCAGTGAGATGTTTCTTATTCTCCTTCTTGGGCTGGAGTGGTTCTTGCACATGCAGGAGTCTCACTTCCAACTCCTGCCCTCTCTGGCCCAATAGCTTGTTTCCTTTCCTGTACATTAAGTCCTGTTTGGGGATCCTGTCTTTTTCCTTGCCCAGTTCCAGCTTTTGATTACCTTTCCACTGCTAGGAAGTTTCCTTCTTTTTTTTTTTTTTTTTTTTGGTTTGAGCTCCATAGTAGAATTTATTTCTGTTACAGTTGAGTTGGGATTTCTAGATGACCACAGCAGAAATTGTCTGGTATAAGCTCACTGTGCTCTGTAATTGGCATTCTAGGTAATCTTTTTTCCTGAAAAGTACATAAAATTTATACCTTTGAACATACCATCAGGTTTTCTGGAAATAGAGAAATGGGTATGGCCAAATTTCAAATGTCAAATGAGTAACTTTTGTTTTTGGGTTTGTTAATGTTCAAGTTTTATATTCTAATGGAGAACATCCTCTCTCTCTAGACATGTTTGGTGTTTGTAACATTTGCTTACCCATGCGGGATTTCATGATCAGATTTTCAGCTAACTGATGTGTTGTGGTTTCAGCCCTGCACCTTTTTTGCTCCCTGATGGACTGGTTCGCTTGGTTAACAAACAGATAAACTGGCATTTGGTCCTTGCAAGGTTAGTATGTGTAAAATTCATGTTTTTCTATCTCAGTTAGCCTTTAAATTTCATTAAGGACATTAATTTTGGGGTCCTTATAGTTTGCCTTTTTAAACAAGTTTTTGGTGATGGTACTGGGGATTGAACTCAGGGCCTCATGTTTGCTATGCAAGCGCTCTACCACATGAGCACTTGAGTATGTTTTTCAGATAGGGTTTTATGCTTTTGCCCCAGCTGGCCTCAGGCTTCAGTCCTCCTATTGCTGTCTCAGTGTAGCTGGGATTACATAGTAGTGGCCACTCCTGGCTTTGAGATCGGGTTTCGCTAATGTTTTCCTGGGCTATCCTTGGACCATGATGCTCCTTTCTCCATTTCCTGAGTAGCTGGGATTAGAGGGGTGTACTGCTGTATCTAGCTGGGATCCTTATAGCGTTCATTCTCACTTTTTGATGTATGTAAATTCCCTTTTTTACATACACAAAAGTATTGTTTAAACATGTTATTCAATCTGTATTGAGTCATTTTCTATGCTTTTGTGCATATATACTTACCTAATTATAAAGGTCAAATGATGGATAATTAAAGCAAAATAATTCAAAAATTCAGAAATGATTTTTTTTCTTTTTTTTTTTTCCTGGAAAAACAACAAGCAGGGTTTTTTATTCCAGTGCAGTAAACATCATTCTGTATCATTCATTTTAATACCCTGGACAAATGTTTTAATAGTGAGTTATTGCATAGACCCTGAAAAGGTTATTAGATACTTTGCTTTTTAACACAATTCTTTTACAACAGACCATTCCAGAAATATGTTTTGTCTTAAATTAAATTAAACTAAAGAAAATAATTAAAAGTCCAATGAATTGCCTACTTACCTAAAAAACAAAGGAATAGAAAACTGTTCAGAAATTTAACTGGAAAGGTTAAAAAATAAAAGTACTATTCAATTAATGGGATCTAAATGGCAAGTAGAATATTAGGACTATTGTTTAAAAGTAATATTACTTTTACAATCATTGTTAACATTTCTGGTTGAAAACAACTTTCTTAAAATTATTTTAGCGAAACTTTGGAACATTAGTGTGCATTTACTTACATACAAAGGTTGATTACTCACAATAATATTTGTGAAGAAAATACATTGTAAGGCAATTGCCAAGAATTTTAAGTAAAATCATTTGTTGCATACTCTGTGGAACCTAACTAGATTACTTATTCAAAGATGAGAGTTCTTCCAATAAAACCCCTTTATTTTACCCAGAAGAGTAGCTGATACTTTTGGAGAAAGAACTTTAGACTTTGTAAAACAGCCTTTTAGCCTGTACAGAGGATAGTCTGGTTATTTAGTTGGATGAGGCCTTTGTACTGTGTGATCTTGTTTTCCACCCTTCACCTCCACCATCTCCATGGAAGATCATGGGAAGGGATAGGGTAAAGCTGAGAATCAAAAGGTTTCAAAGAGGTCCTGAGTTCTAGATGGAGTTATGTCTGCTTTCAGCTGTGACTCATTTAAAAATATTTAGAATCTGCACAAATAGCTTCAAAATGAAAAAGCTTTAAAGTGAAAATATTTTTCTAGTATTTCTACCATTCACTGGATGGTGTTATGGATGGAATATTTGTGCCCCTCCTCCACAAGTTCATATGTTGATGCCAGACTTCAGTGTGACAGTAGTTGGGGGTGGAGACTCTTCCAGGAGTAATTCAGATGCAAGGAGATTGTAATGGTGGAATTCCTGATTTGAAAGAATTAGTGTCAACAGAGAGTTCACACTTTCTCTCTTGTGCATATGTGTAAAATGTAGTGAGGATGCAGCTGTTTAGAAACCAAGAAGAGAGCCCTCTCCAGAAATAAGATTGACCAACACCTCAATCATGGACTTCTAGCCTTCAAAATTGTGAGAAAACTAATTTATGTTGTTTAAGCCATTAAGCCCATTTTATTTTGTTATTATGGCCAGAGAAGACTAACATAGATGATATTTGTGTAGGGTAGTGACACAGCAGGCATAAGGAGTTTTCCATAGGGATTGTGATACTTATGTGGGAGATTTGGTATTAGAAAATCCTAATTTCTCCATGTCTGGTTGCTACATTGGGCCTACCACAGAACAGCTACCGTTCAAAAATGATTTTAACTTCTTAAAATAATTCCACCTGTGTTGAAATCTGCTACAAGTATTCATGATAGTTTTTTTTTTTTTCTTCCTCTTTTTATCATATAAAAGCAATGGAAAGCTTTTGGCTGCTGTTCAGGATCAGTGTGTGGAGATCAGGTAATTGTTAATATTATTCATATGTAAGTTTTGAGAAAAATATTATTTGATATGCAAGAACTGAGATTTTAATCTTTATAGAGGTAACATATTTAAAAAGATTTACTCTTAAATCACTTAATTGTGTGAAGTGTCATGTACCGCTCTGTGAACAGTGCTTTCTCAGAGTAGTCTGTCTTTCTACTTTCCCATCACTGCTGTCTCCTGAGAAGTTTTACTTTCTTTGTGAATACGCTTATATTCCAGAACTCTGGAAATCACTCTCGTTTGACTAGTTACTGCTCTGTCTCTCAGCTAAACAAACAGATGCTCAGGAAAATGCAAACAGGATGGGACAGCTTTGCTTTGTTGGCACAATGTTGCAGGCTACAAATGGGTGTGTGAAGAAAGGCCGGTGCTATTATCTGTTTGCTCAAGACAGTCAGCAGTACTAAGCACTCATCTAAGATTTCATAAGCTGGGCTTTCCAGGTGTTTTATTTTTAAACAATACACAGGTTATGAAAGAAACAGCAACAATTGCAACTAACTCAGTGAAACTAGTTCATTCTTTGGGAAATTTGCAACAGCATACTAAATGTGTGGCATTTGTAAAATTGAAGGATGTTCCTTTTTCCAGACAAGGCCTGACTCTCAGTTTTCAAAAGATAAGCAAAGAGGAAGAAATTTCAAGATATCTAGATACTAGTTGAAAAGTTTTTCTGCTAGTTTTCTTGATTAAAATAGTATTGCAGTGTACCCTTTGTATCCATGGGTTTATGGTTCCCAGGAGATGGCCACTGAAAAAAGCTAGAAATGCTCAGGATGCATAGAGTTTAGTTCTACATCACAACTGCTTGATTGGTTTTTCCCATAATGCTACTCCACTTTTGCTAAAGGCATGTTTGCCTTTCAACAAATCTAAAATTTTCTCTTTATTACTTCCATTAAGCACATTAACTTTTACTTTGCTTTTTTTTGTTCCATTTGCTTTATGGGAGGCATGTTTTCACAAAATTAAAGGGAGGGAAATACTTAGCAATCACACAATGATTTAACTGCAACTTTGATAATCTGGGACTGACTGAGAGCTTTTCCACATCAACTGAGCTGTGTAATGGGTACGTGAGAATGGAAGATTTTTGTTTTTGAAATTTCTTTTGATTTTATTTATTTATTATTCTTTTTGGACCACACTTGGTCAAAGCTGTGTGTAATAAATCCACAAATAAGGTAGGCCTACCTTCGTGATCATTCAGCTGCTATCACACTGGTTTCAGTTTTCTGTTTATGGCACCTCCCCCCCACTTACCAAACAGAACTGGATCCTTCAACTTGTGGGGAGTAAACAGAGGTCTTCCCCATCTGGGCACTGGCCTGCAGTAGGGAGGCCTTCTGACCTCTCTTATAACCACCAGGGTAACAATGATAGCAGTGATGGTAGTGGTGGCAGCCTTTCAAACCTAAATCACCTAACTTGATGCTTTTCAACAGCATCATTAAGCAGCAGAATGGCACAATGTTTGAATTTACATTGCTCGTAGGAATGGGCTAGTACCTCCTACTCCGTTCATGGCAATAATGTGAAGTGTGTCTGTTTGAGAAGTGTGCCCATGGTACGACTTACTTATGAACAGCAGTTAGTAGGCAAATTATTTCCACCCTTTTCCATGAAAAGAGAATACTTAGGAAATAACTTTAGGTGTTGGTATTCAATACAGATATTTAGCCTAGGAGGGAATTTGACCAACGAACTTGTTAATGAAAATTTTGATATAATGTGTATTATATCTGGAGAGTTTTGTGGTGAGAAGTCAACTCCATTAGGAAGCTTTTTGAGAACATACCCTGTATTGGTCTCTTCTTCCCACCACACATTGATCAAGTACCAATCATTTAAGCACCTGTAACAGTCAAGACATTTCTCTATTACTATTCTTAGTGATAGGCAGATAGTGCTATCTTGTCAGGCATTGTTGTAAGTGCCTTACACGTGTTAACTTGTCCAGCTCTGACAGAAGTCTTGTGAGGTTGCAGGCATTGCTGTTTCTCACTATGTTAGAAATGAGGAATCACATACAATATGGTTAAATAACCTGCCTAAGGATTTGAAATCAGCTCTAACCACAAACCTGTATTACATTGCATTCATGGTGTGCTTAGCCTTAGCTGCTGTGTGTTTCTCCTGTTATGTTCAGGACCACTGCTTTGCATAACTCCAACCTGTGCTACGTACCAGGAATTCAGTGTGAATGGGATCTGGAGTCTGCTGCTCTGATTATATTGTGTGTTCCTTGCAGGCAGGGATTGTCCCTTTTGCCCAGCATGTTGTATTTCCACCAGATAATAGGAATTGATAGTTTGTCCCACGGATAAGTGGGGCATTTTTGAATAGGGGAAACAGATGCAGAGTGGGCATAGCTTACTGCATTGCTTGCAGTTGGCATACATTGTTTTTGTTGAGTGAATATAAGCACACTGACTTTGTAGTAACCTAAAAGGAAGGCTTTTTGAACAAAGCTGTGGAATGATCAGTAAAGAAAAAGGACAAGGGAAATCCCCGAAGTAAACTCTGAGTAGTGGTTATTCTTGAATTTTTATTTTGTTTTTTGATTTTCAGACAGGGTCTTCCTATGCAGCTAGGCTGGCCTGGAACTCGCAAACTTCCTGCCTCAGCCTCCCCAGTGGTGTGTGCCACCATGCCTGTCTATCTTTGAATTTAAAGACATTTGTTCTTTCTGTTTCATTTGTTCTTTCTTCACCACAGTGAAGAGCATGTGCAATGCAAGATTGGCTGAATAGTAAGGGTAGTAGGCACTCAGTAGGTAGTTAGTATACATTTGTTGATTGAATTAGACTATGAAAGATAATTTTAGTATCTCAGGTCATTATCTGCTTTTAGGGATCAGTTATAAGGAGAAAATGGTCTTTGAGAAAATAAAAATGAAAAGCTAAAACACAGTTCAATTTATCTATTAGCATATATTAGTTGTCAGGGGGAATTCGTTGTGACATTTGCATATATGCTTGTAATATATCTTAGTTAGATTTACCCCCTCCATCATTCTCCCTTATCCTTCTTCCTCTCCCCTTTCTTAGAACACTTTCAACAAGTTTCATTGTTCTATTTTCATACATGTACATGAAGTACATGTACTATATTTGCCCTCCTTCTCCCTCTTCATTTTCCCTCCCTCCTCTCACTGGTATCCACCCCCAGAGAGGACCTGTTTTACCTTCTTGACCTTCATTTTTTTAAGTGTATGTTGATTGTTCAAGGGGGTTTCACCTTGATATTTCATACACATATATATCATACTTAGATTAACCCCCCCATTGCTAACTTCTCTATTGCCCTACTCCCCTGTGATTCAGCATTTTCAGTGTATTTCGTTATACTGTCTTCAAATTCAGATGCAATGTATTTCAAGACCATTCACACCCTGTCATTCTCTTTTTCTCTCCCACTTCCCTGTAGTCTCCTCGTACAGATCACAGTTTAATTTTTTGAGACAGCTTTGCATTTTGCCGTAGTCCTTGGAATGCTGTTTTATTTCTGTGGTGAGGTGTAAATGGCATTAATCGTGTGCTCTAATATGATATCTTTAACCTGCTTATGCAAGGGGCTGCCTACGGATAAAAACTGCTTGTGAATTGCTTCTTTCATTTGTAATTTGGCAGCAGCTACAGACTATAAATTGTTAATATGTGTTTCCTTATTTCCTAAATAGTGGCATAATGATTTCTTGTGATTATGGACTGTTAGAAATATGGGGACTAATTAGAAGCTATCATAAAACATTAAAATAACAGACACTTAAGAAAAAGGCATATAAATTCCCCACCAATGTTTGCTTAACTATTCTAAGTGAAAAAGTTCTGTGTGAAGTTTTTTTTAAGGTACTTCTGGGGTTTGAACTCTGGGCTTCATACTGTACTTCCTGGTTAGGCACTTAACCACTTGAGCCACAACCCTGCCCTTTGTGAGGTTTTAACACAACCAGATATCTCTTTTCTTCCTGTTCCCGAGAAAAATAGCAACAGTTATTTAATAATTATATTAAGAGTGAAAATAATGAAATTTACAAATGTGTCATTTAATCCTTTCTCTAAGCTGTGTGAGGGCGATGCTATCCTATTTTATTTATTTATCTTTCATTCCTTTTTAAATTATATTGTTCTACTGGGGGTACATTGTGACATTTATAAAAGTTTCTACAATATATCATAGTTGGTTTCATCCCCTCCATCATTCTTATTTATCTCCTCCCCCCATTCTTAGAATAGTTCTGACAGGTCTCATTTTTCCATTTTCATACAGGAGTATACAATATTTCCACTACATTCAGCCTCCTCCACCACTCCACTAGTACCAGCCCCCAGACATGACCTGTTTTACCTTCCTGGTCTCTATTACTGTTTTATTTAAAGGAAAGTGAAACTTAGGTTAAATCCTTTGTGTGGGTCACATGGATAGAATTGTAACCAGGTCAGCTTCACTTCAAAGACTATCTTTTTTCTGCTGTATTCCACTTAGAACCTGAAATAGTCCAGGGCCTGAAGGAAATTTATTCTCATATTTATAATTATCTTTAGTAATAATATAACAGTTTTTAAAGACTGGCTAGAAATATTAAGAATCTTTAAAAATTGTTTAGAAAGTAATGCTTAGTCTTCTTAGAAACACTAGAAAATACAGTTAAGTATATAAAATCACCTATTACTCTGCTGTCCAGAGTGTTATACTATTAATATTGTAGCATGTGTTCTTTGAAACTTTTATATCTGCATATGTGTGTATAATACGTATTTTTAGTGAATATCATATGTTTTGAGAATGAACTTTTTTTTTTTGGTGGTACTGTGGTTTGAACCTAGGGCCTCATGCTTCCTAGGCAGGCATTCTGTCACTTTAGCCACTCTGTAACAATATCGTATTTTCTGTATGATACCAACTTGTGAATTCCTTCTGTGATCCCTTAATTTGTATCCTTTTTTCTTGATAACCTTTGAAAACTAATGTATCATGAACATCTTTCCATGTCACATCGTACCTGCATGTTTCATAGTAGGCACTTAGAAAAATTTAATGAATCTCCTTGTACTGTGTATGTTTTTCTCTTATGAATTGGACTGCATTGGTTTCCTTGAAGTCTTATAAATCGGTAATTGCTTTTTGGGGATAACTATAAAAGTGGGATTGCTAGGTCAAATGCTATAGAAATTTACATTTTAGATAATTGTTATTAAAATATTTTTTAGGTGACTTACCAGTTTTCATTTTTAAACATAGTTTATAAAAATTATACTACTTTGATATGTTTTTTGAGATCACAGATTTTAAATAGGCCACTGATTTAAATATGGTGACCTATTTAGGCTATTTGACTTATTAAAATAAGACTTTTTTTTATTAAGTGATCAAACCTTATAATATGATATAAACTAGTGGTTCTTAACTACATCAATCTGTGGAGCTTCAAAAAATACATTTTGCTTGGGCTCCATCCCAGATTTACTGAATCAGAACCTTTGGCAATGTGGGCCAGATATTTCTATCGTTAAAAGACCATGCTTAAATTCACTTAAGCTGTATCACTGTATTTCTGGCAAAGCCCCTCTTCTGAGGCAATAAGAAGGGTGGATGAAAATATTGTCACTAATGAGTCTTATTTGAGGAGCAAAGTCATCTTTGTAACAGAAGGAATGATTTATTATTGCATATAAATGCTGTCTTGTTCACAGTATCTCTGATATTTCATAGATTATACAACAGTGTTGTTTAAACACTGTTAGAGTAAAACTATTGTCTTGATTTTGCAGATCTGCAAAAGATGATTTCACATCTGTTATTGGGAAATGTCAAGGTAAGAGTTCAAAGTATTTAAAAAATTAAAATTTCAAATGTATAATGATTTATGATGTTTCTTTAGAGTAGATATTAAATAAGTATTTATTAATAAAAGATTATGACTGCTAAAATAATTTGAAAAGTTGTAACTGATTTTTCTTAGTGCCTTAAACATTGTGTTTTAAGATATGCATTTTGGAGGGATTTGAAATTTAAACTGTGTTCTAAAAAAGTCTTAGCCAGTTTTGGAATAAAGTATTTGTAAGTATAGTTTTTTGTTTTGAAATCAGTGCAGAAATAAATACTGAGTTATAAGTCCAGAGTTGTTAATATATAAACTTGTAAAAAAGACTGAGATTTGGTCATTCTGTGATATATTCAGCAAAAATTTAGTGAGTGTACCTATGTGGATGAACTGTTTTATTGGGCACTTCTAGTGTGATTGTGAGTGAAAAGGCATGGTCCTATGTGAGGCCCATAGACAGTCAAATATATAATTACAAACTTTGACAAATCCAATTAGGATACACATAGTACACAGTGAGACTTTTTAACCAGGAATATGATATGAAGTTGTTGAGGAAAAGTTGCCTTTGGAAAGCAACCTTAAGCAGGAGAAGTCAGGAAAAGGCAGGGGCAGTATTTCAGTCTGCAGGAGCAATGCATAAAAAACACAGAAGAAACCTTGACTGGGCAAATAATTAGGAGGGTGATATTAGGTAAATGCATTTATTACCTATATCTTATTTGTAGGACCTGCAGTTCTGTTTTCTGACCTTGAGTTAACTGTGTAGCAGTTGTAGGAATCAGAGTGGTAATCACAATGACAAATTTTTAGTGTCCTTATTGTGTGCCTGGGGCTGTATTTAGTGCTTTACATGCATTTTCTCCCTTCATTGAAAGAAAACAGCATTAGGATTAAAATAAATATTTGGTAGTGGAGGAGAGTGAGGAGGAGGAAAGCCCTGATAATTTTAGTAATTGCACAGTGGTAGTAATGCAGAGGATTCCCCACTCCCTTGTAGAAGCACAGTTCTTAAGTTCTTGTCAAATGCACTCTTATTAGCCTAAAGCCAATTCCTCCTCATTGTTGTCATTGTCACCCATCTAGATATGGTCAGGAGATTAAAAATCAAATATTTAAGATTTCTGAGTTCCCATATGAATGGTGACATTAATTCTATTAGTCATCAGTCATTATTCTTACGCATCTTCACATATACAAGTGGATAAGGTAGTAATAGAGTTCATATGGAGTCATTGTCGTCTTTGTAGTAACATAATTTACTAGTGGATGTAACACTTCCTACATACTTATGTAAGGGTAGCTCCCTTTTTATAATCTGTTCCTTCTGCTCTGTTCCCAGGATGGTTGCCAAAGCTAAAAACTAGAAATTTTTCTTTTCTGCTTTCTTTCTATGACAGATGTTTATCAAGCAGCCCCTGTGTACCTGGAGCTGTCTTAGGCACTATGTATATGTGCCCAGTAGGATATAGGCTACCTAGATTTAGGAGTTTGCAGTCCATCTGAGAAGAGAGCAAGAATAAACAATGCATTGTAACTGTACTAAGTGTCACAATGGAGAAGAGTCATGATTAACTTAACTTTACCAAGTCCTGGGAGTCTGTTTTATCAATTCGTGTTCCCCACTTCTGTATTTCAGCCTTTACAGGTCTAGTTCAGGTTCTTAACACTTTTTACTTGCTTTATTCCAGCATCCTGCTAATGAAGTTTTCTTTTGTATGCCCTTCACTAATACACACTTTGCACTCCTTGTAAATTGATTATTTTATTTTATTTTGTTTGGTGCTGTTGATCAAATCCAGGCCTCGTGAATGCTAAGCAGGTGTTCTACACACCCCAGTCCCAAATTGATACTTTTTAAAAATGGGGATTCTATCAGATTATCCTTCACATCTGGCTCTGTTGCTTTCTACATAGGTGGGGCATAGTAGAAGGAAGTTAAGTCATTAGGGGTGTGCCATTGAAGGGGTTATTGGGACTCTGGCTGCTTTCTCTCTGTCCTTTTTTTACTTCCTGGCCACCATTAGGTAACTAGCTTTGCTCCACCATGTGCTCCTTGCAAGAGTGTTTTACCTTCCTACAGGCCCAAAGAAATGGTTAAATGACCATGGACTGAAACCTCTGAAGTCCAGAGCCAAAATAAATCTTCATTGTAAGTTGATTATCTCAGGTATTTTGTGACAGTGACAGCCAATAATATGCTCTGAGCCTCACTTTTATTATTTGTAATATGTTCACAATTTTATAGATTGAGATACAGAGAGATTATATGAGGTCATATATGCAAAATTTCATTCAGTGTCTGACACATCTTAAGTACTTAGATGATGTTAAGCTATCACTATCTTCACTTACTGTAATTCTTTCTAAATCTCTTAATTGATTGCTACCGACTGTGTAATACAATTCATAGTTTTTTTTTTTTTTAAGTGGGACTGGGGTTTGAACTCAACTCTTTGTACTTGCAAAGCAGGTGCTCTACTGATTGAGGCACATCTCCAGTCCATTTTGCTCTCGTTATTTTGGAGATGGTGGTGGTGGGGTCTCAAGAACTACTTGCCCAGGCTGGTCTCGAACTACAGTCCTCCCTGATCTCAGTCCCCCAGGTAGCTAGGATAACAGGTGTCAGTCACTGGTGCCTGGCTTATTTCATATTTTCTAATTCAGGATACAAAACCTTTCACTGTCAGCCTGTCCATCCCATGAGAGTACTCTGTCATATGTCCTGTGTGCCAGTGCAAAGCAGTGTGAATTTCCTCACCTCTTTGTGCTTTTATAGTTCCTTCAGTCTAGAAGCTCCTATCTTTACATTGAGTTAATTCATCCTGTATATGTTAGGTCAAGGATCAGATCTTTTGAAAAACCTTTCCTCCCCTCTTCATGATTCCCTTGTACGCGTTTGTGTCTACATCTCAACACTCACTGTAGTCTACTTTCCTTTTTCAGTTGTTGATTTGATTCCCAATTAGACTGTAAATTCTTTGAAGACAGAGCTTCTGTCTTACTTAATTCCTTTTTATTCTTTGTGTGTGTGTGTGTATACATATATATATATGTGTGTACCCATACCATGAATGGAACAATATGTAGATTAGAAGCCCTTTTGGCATAGCATCCTTTTGAGTGTAACACTAGGAGAGGTAGTATATAAGTGTGAATATCTAAAACTTGGAGCTGTACATTTTCTGAACTTAGCTCCTGTGGTTTACTCACCAGTGCTTATTAAAGTAGACTAGAGCTAGTTTAAATAATATGTAAATATCATGAAGTCCCCAGAAAACTAATGTGAGATATTCCAGTGCAGCTCTTTTGCTGGCTGGAGGTCTGGGGGCATGAGGTGAGCTGCTGAGGAGTATGCTAAGTGTGCTGGAATGTTGTAGGTGTTCAGGTTCTTTTGAGCTTTGGCATTAGACACCTGCTCTTAGCCAGTAAGTAAACTGAGAAATCTATAAGTTCACTTGAAAATGGGAAGCTTAACTGCTCTGTATTTCATACAAATTATATTTGTTAGAATTTTTAGTGTGTACAGTTAATGTGGCAGCATAGATGAGATAATGCTTTGAGAACTAATGTTTTATTTTGTTGGCTTCTGAATGTGTGAATTTATGACCTTAATGCTGCATTAATGGCTTCTTTCCATTTCATATAATGTGAGGTAATGATCATTTGCTTATTACATGACTCATCTTTATGGGAATAACTCCCATATGCCAAATGATATTTCATGTGTATGCCTGGAGAAAAGGAGCCAGGTTGTTGTTAATGCATTTCTGAAACTACATATTGCAGAATCTGCAAACTGAAATAGGAGCTATTTGGTTCCACTTTGATATTTTTCAATTATTGTTTTATAAAAGATAGGCCATTTGAGAATGTTTTAAATGTAGATTGCAACTTGTTTTGGCCCTGTTTGCCAGGCCATTTACAGTAATTCAGTCTTCTCTTTCTGTCTTACATAATGACCTAAAAAATAGCACATGGAATGAGACTTTTTTAGAGCTGTTTTTTATTAAGAGATTTTTGTCATATTTCTGAATTTGAAATACCATAAACCAGAGTTCCCTTGCCTATGGTAGGAATGCCTGTCAGTCCTCCAGTGACTAGTGCAGGCACTTCACAGCCTGTGATCCACTAGTTGCCACCGGCTTTCAGCAGCCTCATCATTTACTGTTAGGTACCATGCAAGTGTGATTTGTCTTTTTTGATTTTTTTTTTAAGTCTGCTTGACATGGAAAAGACTGAGAAGCATAGATTATTTGAGGTGCCCAGACTTTGAAATGAAACATTTCATTTTTATTTCTGTGATTCAGGATCCTTAGATTATACTAACCATTTTCCCCTTTTTGTATTTTTAAAGAAAATATTTTTTTTTCTTAATGAAAAAGTAAGACACCTTCTTATTAGAAACTAGGAATGAGCAAGAGTAGAAATAAAAATAAACATACCATCAAGAGGTAAATACCATCAGCATTTTATTACTTATTCTTTCAGATATTTTTTCTATAGTACCTGTTACTGTAGATATTCTCTACAAAAGTAAAATGTTTTGTCATTTGCCTTCTTCATCTTTTCAACCTGAAGTTTAACAAGGACTTCCCAAATTATCTTTCTTGATCTTTTCTACTGGATAATATCCCAGGTATTAGGGCACAGGTTTTCAAATGACTCAGATAATTTAGAAGGTGTCTATAAATTTAATTTTTGAGTAGCAAGCAACTTAGTACTGTATTTGATTCTACAAGATAAACAAAACCATTATCAGGCTGCCATGCAGATAATTGTGTGTTGTAACATAGGATCTGACTAATGGGTCTGTATTCATGAGGGATATTGGAATAGAGATTGTTTTCTTACAATGGCTTTCTGGTTTGGTATTGGAATACTGCTGCTCTCAAAATAGGAGTTAGCAAGTGTTTCCTCCCTTTTCTATTTTCTGAAAGAGGTTGTGTAGGATTGGAATTATTTCTTCATTAAATATTGGATAAAATTCA